CACACACACACACACTCCCACTCCCCTCATTCTCTATCACATTATATGATGTGGGCATGATCCAAAATAAAACAGTGAATAACGACTGGATTTGAAAAGCAGCAGTAGAGGAAGGCGGATATTCTCTTTCTCTCGCATTATGAAATGGTTGGATATGAGGCTGGTGCAAGATAAAACAAAAACCCAAAGCTGTCATTGGTAACAAAATATAGGAAAAAGCCCTGCAGGGATGAATGTGTTCTCCCAGCTCTGAGGATGTTATATGAGCCACCTATGAGTATCCGTGAGTCCAGCTGAGATGACATAAGATCTCTCACATCCTTACATCACTGGACATACTCAAGTTGCTTCTAAAAAAGCAGCTTTCTTGCTGACACACACCCCACCCACACTTCCATATGCTCCAAGCTATACACATGGTTCACAACAGCCAGTGATGAGCTGTCCAAAACACCCGGAACATAAAATGAGAAATGAAAGGAAAAGAAAAGCTCACGGAGGTTTGTGGTCCTGGAGACATAGTGCTGCGAATGCATCCCTAGGGCCTCCTCCCCTCGAAACTGTTCACCTGGACACCCGCCCTGCAGCACACTGGCAACGGCCCTGCAAGAGGAGAAGAGAGGAAAGAGGGGAGGGGAGCAGATAAAGGATGGAGAATAAAGGATGGGTTAGGGGTGCAGACATTAGAAAGTGTGCATAACACGGTTAATTGAATTATTCAGTCCGGCTGCACTGCTGCACATGCAGGTGCAATCTTTTTGGTGAAATTGTGAGGTGCAGCTGAGTGGAAATAAATGTGATTCCCTGATGAATGGGGCTGAAAAAATGGGTCCTGGTTTAAATTTTTTCTGCAGCCGTTGCCCATATACACGCTTCACTATTACATTACACTGTATAAAAGCTTTTTCAGTGATGAAGACAATACAATGGAGCGCAATGTTGCCTTGGTGAAAGAAACCTCCCCCCTCTTGATGAGAGTATAGCTCACATAATGTTATATCACAACGACCAGGTACAGTCTGGAGTGGAAAGACATGCAGCATCCAGTACTGCTCATTTTTCTCGACATAGAAGATGACTTTAGTTGCTCTGGTTGCCCAGAAACAACCGCCTGCATGCATGCTGTGAGATATAACACCCACAATGCATTTAAAAAGCAAGCTGGACCTTTATAATGATGCGTTATGTTTATTCTCATACATACAGAGAGAGATGTAGAAAAGAAGGAGACAATGCGCGCTCCAGATCTCTGCGTGCGTAGGCTACTACTGCAAGTGTCTTTGTAAACAAGCGCACTGAGAGAAGAAGAGGAGGGAGAGGAGAGACAGGGAGAGAGGGAGAAAGAGAGAGGCTCACCTGGTCATGTTTTCTCTCTGGGGCCGGTGCGCCTTTTCCAGACCCAATTTGGTGAAAATCCCCACCAGAGCCATAATGGCCACTACTCCACATATGATGTAGACGATTAAGTTCGTCTTGTCTTTGGTGCTGTCGTGCATCTTGTTCATTTTTTTGTAAGGGGTCTGGCCGGTCTTCATCCACACCGGCGTGTCGTAGTTCTTACAGGTGCTCTGGTCCAGGCGCGAGTGTTTGTAGGAGCAGCAGAAGCGGAAGCCACAGGTGCCGCAGCAGTACAGATAGTTACCCGTCTTGCAGGTGAACGGCGGGTCCCACTGTCCCATCACGTCGTAGTAGCCCCGACACTTGTCCTCGGTGTGCGGCGTCTCTTCGGACACGCTCTCCTCCTCGCGGGAACCGTTGGAGGTGGCGATCATGACGAAGCCCCCGAGCAGCCCCGGCTCCCCGTCGGCCTTGCACACCAGAGCCATAAGTTTGAGCAACAAGAAGCCGAGGAGAAAGACTTTCCCCCTCATCGCGCCTTCTCCTCCGTTCAACTTCACGCAGAGACGAAAAGACTTGGGGAGATGGAATAAGGCGCACGGTCATGATACGCTGAGAAGTCCAGAAACATACATCCAAATAGCGCCGTCATGCGCGCCGATGAAGATCTTTACTCACATATCACCATCCCCGTAAAAAAACCAACACAAAAATTAATCAAGAAAGAAATAAAAATCACTTAGACTAACATAAATCTTCAACTATCAGCTCTCCAACGTGCGCTCTAAACTGCGCAACCTACGCGTCTTTCCAGAGAGGCATTTTTTGCAGGCGTTTTCATCCGGAGTGCACGTCCATCGGTGCGCTCTTACGCACGGGAGGAGCAGCCACGGAGACGCAAGCCGCACCGAGGATGAGAGCGCAGTGAGCGACCAAAGAGAGCCGAGGGTGGGAGAGCCTGGTGCGCTAAAGGAGAGGTGGAGGAGGAGGAGGAATACAGGATAGAGAAGGGAGGGGAGAGAGAGAGTGTGGGAGAGAGAGACAGAAAGAGAGAGAGCCTTTATTGTGAAATATTACGAGAAAACCCGCCGGAATACGCACGCCACTATGTTCTGTTTTACCGTCGAGGAAAGGCGTGGGCTTTTTTGGACCAATTTACGCATTTTCAATCGTAGGTTGCAGTTGTTCTAAACCGCAAGTAGCTTAATGTGTTACAATGGTGCAGCCTCTAAAAGCGGGCATATAAGGAGTCCACCAAAAAAATGTGGCCCCAGCACTTTTTCGGAAGGTTCTATGGGCCATTTATTAACCACATCCAATACTAAGTTTAAATGTACCCTAACCAAAAGAAAATATGTCGTGTTCTTTTTAATCTTCAATTGGAAAATGTCTCTCCCTTAAAATGAATAAAGGCGATTTGGATGTGTAAGTGAAACACACGACATACTTGTGTATGGATATTTAAAATTCTCCAAGTGCAGTTTATTGGCAACTTTAATTTTCTACTGTTCACATGTTCACCCTGACTGGGTGGATCACCTCTGTCCATGGTGCTGAAAGGGTCCAGCCTCGAGCCCCAGGCTTTGCCACTGATCACACAGTCCATAGTGTTTCCTGGAATCTTTGAAAATGCAGTTGAATTCAAGTCTGTGAATAAAATATAAGAATGTCTTAACTTATTTTCATATCCATAAAGCACATTGAGTCACCACTCGAGCAGTCGTGGATCCAGGATTCTTTTTAAAGCATAAAAGGGCCACGATTTACACAGAGGGGCCAATTACATGTCCATGTACAATTATTGATTCAGTATGGTTCACATTTAAAGGTAACGTTCATCCAAACAAACATAAAATACCTCTAAACTGCTCCTGTGATCTCATCCAAGTGTCTGTCCACCTCGACATTCAAAAAAAAAGCTTGGAAAATAAAAAGTATTAACAATTTCACTTCAGGGGCCAATCAGACCACTAAAGATTGACATGTACCACAGACTCATGCAGACATCACACGTATAAACAAACGAACACACACACACACACACACA